AAACCCTAAACCCTAAACTGGAAAGGTTAAGTTCAATCACGACAGCGATTACAAGTACTACGAACATGGAGTTGCTTTCATTGCCCCTCGGCCTTCCAGAGAGACTTTCTGGGGTTTCTTGGGGAAGAAGGAAAAAGGGGGGAGGGGGAAATCATATGATTTCATTTAGGATTTAAAGAGGGTTTGGGGTAGGGAACCAGGGCATAATTTCTACATGGGTTGCAGTATATCGGTATTGTATTCCGTTATTCCCTACTAAGCACCGGTAAGGAGAGGCTTTAAATGAATCAGAGCCTTAGATCTTAAGCCTTTGAACCCAAACACTGAAACAGGTGGGCAAACTTACAGTAAGAGGGTTCAAGGTTCAGCGGAAACAGGGTTTAAGCGTTTAGGGTCTAGGGTTTACAGTAAGCATTTGGGTTTAGGGCTTAGGGTAAGAAATAGCTTGCGCAGCATTCTCTTTCCCATTTTCGTATTTGTTGACCTCCGCAGCGCGCGGCGCATAGCAACGACTCCAAAACATACCTTGGCCATTTCTGGTTCCAACTCCCAGGCCAAGCACTTAATATAGGGGCCTAAACAACTACCAACAATAATACCAATATCGGATAATGGAAAATAAAATGAAAGGTACTATTTAGGGTTCAGGGTTTAGGGGATTAAAGAATTACCAATCTTATGGTTCCATATTCCTTATATGATTATGGTACCTCAAATGGATCCCAAGATGATGTTGGTAATTATTTAGGCCCCTGTAGTATAGGAGACTGTCCTGTCCTAGGGGATGTGGGTGGAGCCAATTTTGCTTAGATCAAGCTTACATTGAAGACGTGCGGGGCGCTGAGAGCATCGCAAACTCTGCCGGATTCCCCCACCATCAGCTAGCAAGTCTTGTACTTACCCTAAACCCTAAACGCTTGTTTTGCACACCTTTCAAGCCTCGCCGCCAGTCCGGCGAGGAGAGGTCGAAACCCAAAACAGCATGTCCTGACAAAATCCTAAGCCTAAACCCTAAACCCTAAGCCCCATGACGCCATATGTCCTGCAGCAAGGGTTCGCCTTTTGAGCAACTGCCGCCAGCACCTATGCTTTTGCATTCGGCCCGAAGCGCCAAAGCGCAAATGTCTCCCAATTTTCCAAACATGCTTACTTTAGGCAACCAGGAAGCAAAGACCACATGCCATGAAGCCCAAGCCAACACTACGCCCCCCTTACAACCTAAACCCATAAATTCTAAACTTTAAGCCTTTAAATCCTAAACTTTAAACACTAAGCCTTGAAACCCGAACTCCCTAAACCCTTAAACCTAAATCCTAAACCCATAAACCCTTAACCCTAAATCCAAAAGCCTCAACGCTGCAGGTCCGGTTAGCGCCTCAAGACTACCATCGCTTCCACTTCCCTGTGGATGGTAGTCATCTGGTTGCACTGGCTTCATATGAGCTAGCGTCTAAATTCCTCAAAGGGGGATTGTTTAGGGTTTAGGATGTAGGGTTTAGGGTTTAGGGTCTAAACTCCATAAATGGCGTGGGTTTAAGGGATTGTATAGGGGACTACTATGGGGGTTATGAAGGGGGATACTAGGAGTTTAGACTATAGCTCATATGTGGTCTTAGTCTGCCTAAATCCCATACAGTGACTTAGTTTAGGTGTCGCCTGGGTTCTATCTGGGAACGCTGAGCGGATCACAGCAGAATCTCTCAAGGCAGATGTTGCGGGGACTCATACCCTAAACCAGGTCAGGGTTTTATGACCATAATAGGGATAAAAACCCAAGAAATCAAAGAGCACTTACCCTCCTAGCGCTCCTTCTAGAGTGCTCTTTGATTCTGTTTACCCTAGGTCAAAATCCTAACCTGCCCTAAACCCTATATACACCCTCCTAGACCCTAAGCCCTACGCCCTTGACCCTGTTCAGAATTTATTTGCACCGAGCTGATAATTACAAGCCATGCTGAACAGAACAGATGCCCCCTTACTGTAGGGGCCAAAAAATTGCCAAGATTATGGTCGTAGATTCCTTGTGTAGTTACAATATAGAGTACATAGAGTACCTCGAGTAGACCCCATAATGATATAGGTAATAATCTAAGCGCCTACACTCCGCTGCGTATAGCCCCTGTGTAAGCCCAGTTTCCGTTTCATTTTCCATTTCCTTTTCCATTTGATTCTCCATGATTCGGGATTAAACTCCGTATATCCCGTATATAACCCTCATAACACCCTTAACCTTGAAACGTAAGCTGGAACTCCTAAGTTCTCAACTCACAGCCACTATATGTCGGAGTTTAGAGTTCAGGTTTAATTACTTTCAAAAAGCCCCTGAAAAATATGCATATCTACGGCAAATAAGCGCAGGTTGAGTTGGTTCTACAAACTCATTCCGCCAGACTATGCTCTCAATACACGAGTTTAAGGGCCTAGGGTGTCTTACGGATAAGGAAAGTAAAGGGGGCAGTGTAGAGCTTTTTGGGCCTTGTCTGTTTGATACAGTTTTGTATTTTGAGTGCCTGCTCAAGTCTCAAGCCCTTTGCTGAGCAGAGTGGGCTGCCTCAAGATGAAAGGCCCGACCCTGAACCCTAATGCCAAACCCCTGAACCCTAAACGCAGGAGAACCGACCAAAAAAAACCGTCAGTGTCACGCCCACAGCAGAAGCCTTGAACCCTACGCAAGGTTCAGGGTTTAGGGTTTACTGCAGAATCCTTAGGGAATATTGGTTCACTTTCATAGTAGTACGACCAAAAGGAATTATCAAAAGTCACGCTTTTTGTTATAGATCTAGGGCGTCTCGGGTGATTACAGTTTAAGCGTTGATGCAGAAGGGACTTGGCGTTGCCACCGTTTGGCTTTGAAGGGTGCGCTGTGGTGTATTCCTATAGCCGCGTAATCCTACTCCCATGTATGTTGTACTTCAAACTTGTGTACTACTGTTCAAACACATGCATCATGCTATCTGTTCAAATCATATCTTCTTTGGGGGGAAATTTGCAAGAATCATATTGTCTTGCCTGGTTCAACCATCAGAAAACCTTTACACACCACTGAACTGTGTCCCAGGATCCTTGTCGTTAAGCGTGTCCTGCAAACAACCCTGAGTTCATGTCTATGCTTGCGTGGCCTCTCACATTCCCTCCCAACCCTACACGCTAAACCCTAAGCCCTAAATTACCGCTTGCCAGCAAGGAATGAAGTAATGGATGTTATGAGAAGTCCCGACATGGTCCCTACTACTATGATAGTTTTTCATGTTCTCTGCCATTTCTTCATGCCCTGCTAACCAGGGGTAGTCTTACATCATGGCAAGGATGAAGGAGGAGGGTACAGGGTGTTTCTTGAGGTTCTTGTTGGAAAGTTTTGGAGCTGCGTTTAAGGTCAAGTCGGGTTTTCCGAGAGCCAGATTCGAATTTCTGAGCTTGCAAAGCCAATGCCAAGATCGAGAAGAATCCCCGCTAGCTCCTACAGTCTAACGGTTCAAAACCGCCCAGAAATCAACAGCTTCGAGAACTATCCGGGCAACTACTACTCGGTGAACCCAATCGCGGTGCAGACCTCAGCAGTTACAGCTCATGCATAGGTTTCGTTGTTTCAGTGCTCAAGGGGACGTTGATGCTGGAAACAAGCACCTAAAGGAATACACATATTCACTCCCCTTTCCCCTTGATAACCAGTAGAGAGTGCGTCGATTCCGCACGAAACGGTTGGTTCAAAGTCAACGGTTGTTCCCGCAATCGGTATAGAGCCATAGTCTGAGATGCCACCAAAAGCATATTCTAGTGGAATTGAGCGAAGCAGTAGGCTGAGGGCTGTAGAACTTAGAGATGCGAGGCTGAGGTTTTTTGTGTTCGAGAAGTCCAACCAATTCTTCATACTTCTGGAGATCTCTCTAGGGGTTTAGGGGTCAGGGTTCAGGGTTCAGGGATTAGGGTTTAGGGTTCAGGGATTAGGGTTTAGGGTTCAGGGATTAGGGTTTTTGGGTTTAGGGTTCAGGGTTTTGGCTAGAAAGCATGTCGCCTGCCCACAATTCTAAAAAACGAGGGCAGTAGCGGCAGGCAAGCCTTAAGACCTCAAATCCCAAAGCCGAAGCATTGAATCATCCAGGGTGCCCAAACCATCCTCTTGTACCACTTCACACCTTTGTCACAAGAGCGCAGGTCTAGGTTACGCAGTATGGGTGTTCTAGGGTGCAGATGTGGATAGTCCCCACAACTAGGGTCCCGTTTTGGTATGCCTAAATATTAGGTGCCGTAAAATAATCTATACCCAAAAGAGGCCATAAAGTTGAGAATACCCCATATGGTAGATTTTAGGCCAAGATGAAGGGCCCATATTGGGCGCCCATACTTACAGCCTTAGGTACCCCAGTGGTGCGCTTTTTCCCTTCTTATTTTGTTGTATCCTGATGGAAGCTGAACAGTAGGAAGCAGGTACCCTTCTTATAAATGGGTTGCTGGGAAACCTAAACCCTTGCACCGTCATCTCTAACACCCGAAGCCCCAGGGTTAGGGGATTAGAGTTTACGCTTTAGAGCAGTCAGGTGCAGTCGACTGACCCCGTTTTCACGACCAACAAGCGCACCCTGTCTTCCAAACAGGCTCAGGGGTTTATAGGGTTTAGTGGCAGGTTTAGGGGTCAAGGATTACGGCTGGGCTGCCGGTAGCGGGTCTCGGGTACTTTATGTGCTCGACTGTTCTTGCCTAGTTGTTATGCCTAAGTCGTTTGGATGCTGTCCGCTCAGCACACTGAAAATAGTTGCGAAACCATGAACTGACAAGTCAGTCTCTGGCCTTTTCAGGATACGTCGAATACCGCATTATGTTGGGAGTCTATGTGGAGAGCGTCACTTTGGCCAAACCTGTGAAGGATTCAAGCTAAGCGTTTAAGGCCGACGAGTAAAGCACAAATCGGAGCGAAGGGGGACTACAAGGCCGACTGACTAGTCGTAAGCCCTAGCCGAAGTCTAGATGGGTTATTCTGACAACTGTAAACCCCTTCTCATTCTGAATTATAGTACAGCACCTGATAGGTAGGGATACCAAAATGAGAGCCTATTTTTGGGAACTACCCAAATATAGGAATCAATTGGGTTTTGGGGTTGGGGGTCTCGAAAAAATGAGGGATCCCTGTTTAAGCGTCCCCAGAATAAGAGGTATAGCATTTGGGCGTCGATGTCACCATTTAGGGAAGGTAGCAAATGCCCTCCCCATTTAGGGTAACTAGCAAATGCTCATAACAGAGGCCTTTGTACTCGCTACTTCGGGGCTCAACGCCGTTGTTATGGTTTTTTGGGGAGGTTTAGGTGAATCCTACAGTGTGGCTTTGGCACAAGATGCTACCCTAACTCCCTGGCCTTGACGCTTTGCCTTGCCTAAGCTGTTTAGGGTTTAGGCTGCAAGGTTTCTTAAGTATTTTTTCAAAATTAAATGGCTTGTGACTGGTTTAGAGTTCAGGGTTAGGGTGGGGCCCAATGATCTTAAGTCTTAGTGCAGTCCCCAAACATCCCTAGGTTCATTAAGACTTCCATTGAGAAATGCCAAAGCCCGCTGTTTATTCCATCCTCTGCTCCCAAGGAATGCACGTCACCCTGGATACTGGAGAGGACAACCTGGGCTGTGTGACCTACGTTTCTGTCGGCGCGACCAACGTGGCTCGCACCAGCTTGGAGCAAAGAAGTCATGACAAGTACTGTAGGGCTGGGTTGTGCGTTTTTGCTTAGTGTATGCGGATTCCTTAGGAATACTGGTGGGTGTATGTATTGGGCGGCCCATTTAGGGGGACCGTGAAAAACGATGCCACGGGTTGTGTAGGTTAAGAGATTCTGGGTTGGACCTTTGGGTTGGACCCAAGGGTTTCAGGGTTTCGGAGTCGTATCAGAAGGAGCTGTACATATTCAGGCGTTGTAATGCCTTCGTACTAAAATTAAACACCACCCGCCGAGAGCAAATTTGTCTCCCGCCCTCACCCCGGCGCCCTTTCCCGCCACGGCAAACACTACGGCCCCGCGGCACCACCACCAGCACCACGAGGGCTGCTACCCACAGCGAACACTCCGGCTCCAACCCAGCCACCATGTCCAAACTTTTGAATGGCTCCTCGTGGAAGCGCTCGGCGATCGGGGGTCAGAACCGTCTCGTCATGAACAAAACATGCCTCTGCATCGCCATGACATTCACATTGAGGAGTGGCGTGACTTCTTTTGCGAAAACGAATCCCTGGGCATGCAAACGCTTTTTGATGTTCCACAGCATGCCACGCTTGGCCTACTGAAGCCGGAAAACGGAATTTTCAACCCTATGCGCGGCTTGCAAGCCGGAGCTTACCTGCCACAGTCCTTGCTCTCACGCTTTGTAAGCGTCTTTGCTCGCCTTGAGCAAGAGCCAGGAACACACGCCAAACCATGCACACTATGACAAATTGCCAGAATCCCATTTTTGCGCATGCCCCAGCGCACGTCAAACAACATTAGGATGCTTAGCTGGTCAAGCAGGAGCAATCATTTCTGCAGGCAGGCAAACTCAAGTTTGCCTTGGTGACGCACTGTTGGTGCACGTTTGGAGTCATGCAAGTCGTCAGCCTTCCGACGAACCAGCGCAGTGGTCTCGCCCGCTTGTCGGGTGAGCATGTCCAACCTGCCATGCCCTTGTTCGATTATCTCTCACAGTAGTCACGCTGTCTGGCTGCGCTCTCTGACTTGCTTTGGCGCCTGCATGAGCGTGTCCTGCGGCAAGCTGCCGCTCAACGCTATCCCAGGTTGATCGCTTTCCTGCAAACCAGAACTTGCCGGGCGCAGTTTGCGCAGCAGTGGGATGCATTTGAACCTTTTGCCATCTAGTGCCGTTATATGCGTTTCTCGCAGCCCACTGTGTCCTGTGCAACAGCACCTCAGTCATCATCAACCAAGGCAACGTTCTGCGGGTGTTGCGTGACGTGGAAAGTCCAACTGGCGCGTGATGTAAGCAAGGAACACGTGGGCAACGCTCTCGCGATGCTGGACTTCACGCAGCTGGCTGGCTGTGTGTTGGCACTGTGAGTCGCGCGCAGAAGCGGCAGCGCCCAGCAATTTGGGGCAACTGCCATCGGGTTTGCAAACCTCTTGAGCTGGGGGCGTGGGGTTAATCACAGCATGGATGGGCTATATGGTGACTTGCCCATTCGAACTCGTGCCCGTATATTGTGGGCCCTATTACACGGCAGGTAGGCATGGCCCCAGGTTCAATACGGGTTCATATCAGCGTCAACGCCCAGAACGACTTTTGGGCCCCCCACTTTCCATGTTTCGAGTGCAGCTGACTATGACGCTATCACCCAACTTCGCCTTAACAGTGGCTGCTTAGTCTGGGATTCTGAGACTCTTGTAGATTGCCTGCTTGAATAGGGCGTTGACAAAAATGCAGCTGCCCCCCTTCTAAAACGGCCCTGGATGTATGGGGTAACCAGAAGAAAAGCAGAATTCTGAGCAATGGGCACCCCAACCCCCAGAAGCCTGTACATAACCACAGTTTCCTGTTTGTTTTCCGCTTTCTTTCCACTAGATGCTTCATTCTTCAGGCAACGTCCCTTTATCCCTCCATGTGCCCTATACATGACTATAAATCCTTCTGGACAACTCCCATGTAGCTTATAATCCTAAGCTCTAAAAATGTTAAACCTTAATCTGTGACTATGTGGGTGGTGGTCAAAATTATGGTCCCTTGTTGGGTACCCTTAATCTTAGGTGCCGTATTATAATAGGGATCCAAAGAGGTACCATAATTTTGGCAACCACCCATGTAGTTCTTTCGGCCTTCACCGACTCAGAGACTTTGAGGTTGGGTCTGTCATGCACACGTCCTACGTAGGGCAGGACTGTGATGCTCCTCTGTCTTGGCTCAGTAGCTGGATACATGCACTTTACACTCTTTGGGTTCCGCTTTATAGAAACATAGAATATGTTCCAGGACCCTACTTGTACCCTTAATTGGGGATATATGGTCCCTAATAACAGGTACTTAGTCCCTAATAGAGGGTAGGAGGAGGGTCTAGGTGTGTGGCTTGTGGATGAACTCAGCAACCGGGGTGGGGAACTGCAGGCACTCAAGCTGGGGCAAAATGGCACTTCTGGGCTCTTTCGTCTTTGAGGTTCGAAAAGAGGGTCGTCTGAGTAATAAGGGATTCCACTATACTCACCCTATCATGGGGATCAAATAAGAGTGATATGAGCATCATAAGGTTGTCATTTGGGGGGGGCGGAAACCAAAATGTCCTTGTTACCGAGGTTGCGGCTCCAACCTGGGAAGTTAGGCTAGGCGTTTAGGGATCCCGCGTTGGGGATTTGCGGGCTTGCATCAAAGGCTAGCATACAATGTCGCGAGCATGCGTGCCTTTGAAATACAAGGTGTAGGATTTGGCAATGACAGTTTCCAAAGATTAGCATTCCCTCAGAATCATCAAAATCTGTTGGCGGGGGGTCTTTTGCATTTAGACGGCTCTGCCTTAGAGGCAATTGACCAATTGTTCGGTTTAGGTTGGCTGTTCCTGGCATTGCGCCCGCACCTTACGGGTTTGCGACACCTGTAGCAGTAGTTGCGTTATGATCGCGTGCTTATGCTTCTTTGAGCGTCTTTCATGAGGAGCATAATGACGCACTTTACAAATTTGGAAACAAGCCTTCGCCCCCACAACCTGCAGGACGTCCTGCGCGGAATGGAGCATGGCTACATGGCCCCTGGCCGTTTAGGGTTTGCGGTGAAGGTTCATATTTTCGGGTCACGGGTGAAGAGTTTAGTGCTTAGGGCTTGCAATGCCGAAGGTTGAAATCGGTAGTAGGGAAGTGGCCGAGCTTCCGGGAAGCCCCGAAGATTCTGTTTTGAGCAATGTTGCCGGGTTGTTGGACAAAAGCCGCGACCGAGAACTCTTTGAGGCCTTGAGGTAAGACTAAATCCCGAAAGCAGAAGCCGTGAACTTCAGGCCTTTGGCGGTTCCACTGTGCTCGTTTTCGTGCGCCGCGGTGTGCTCGACGTGGTGGATCCCATCAGGCGGCTAGCAGCTTTAGGATTTTTACGGGATAGGGTGTTTAGGAGATTGTTATAGGTTTAAGGTTTGAGGGTTTGCAGTTGCGCAGACCATTTAGAGGTTTGGTGGCAAAGGGTTCAGGATGAGTGGGTTCGGTAATGACAAGTGTAGCCCAATTCATTGTTGATGATGGTTCAATAGTGAGGACATGCTAGTGCGGTGGGCATCCAGGAGTTAGTGTTTAGGGTTTGCGGAATTAGTGTATTAGGGTTTCAGGATGTTGGGTTCATTTTCTTGCGGCGGAATGGTCCCAACTAGGGCTGCAAACCATGGGATGCGGCTGCATGATTTTCATACACCTTGGATCTTTTTTCTGGAAATAGCAGCTTACCAGCTGTTTCTTTCAACAAGTCAGGAAGCACAAAAGATGCACCAGAGAAAATCCACAAAAGTGCAACTCTCCAGATCCCAGATCCTTGTCCGCACATGCACTAACCAGGAACCGTGCTGTTGCAGGGGGAGAACTTGCTGGCTGTTAGTAGGGCGAAGGACAGGAAACCATGCAGAAACGAGCATTGTATTGGGGATTAGCTAAGGGCCATTCTCCAGCACCTACTGTCAACCGGCAGTAGAGAAAGAAATCGAGATGCAGATCATGAGCCCTTGGACTTCTACAGGCACATGTGCTATCCAAAAGGTTCATTTTGAGGCAGAACAAAGGGGGTCAGCACTACGTATGGCCAGCATTTGCTCGTTCGTCAACGTTCGTGAAGCCTGCTTCCCCTTTGCAAGCCCTTCATGTCCAACAGCCTCCCTCAGCCATATACTTACTGGTTATAAGTTATACTAGCGTTGCTAAAATCCCTTTGTGAAGCTGCTTTTCCTTCGCATCACTTCGTGGTGATCCCTCGGCCTTTGTAAACCCTTCCCGTTGCCAGCGTGCTGGACATACAAACCTCTGACCCCCTTTGCTTTACCCTCATCAATGCTGACGCCTAAGGCCCCCCCTCCCCCCCCAAGATCCCTAATATAACCCCTCCTAAGGACCCTCCAGACTCCACTCGTAATCCACCACGTCCCTAGGGTTCCTAACAGCACCTACTCGGAGACCCCACACCCGAAACACTCCTGCCCCCAAACAATCCTCCGTGACCCTAAACCCTAAACCGCGTGTCCCAGGGACATGAGTGCTGTCCCAGTGGAGACCATCGTACACCTAGGAGATGAGCTGGCAAAGCAGAAGGCCAAAGAGGATGCGCTCAGCTATGGGCTTCAGATTTTAGGAGTTATAGGGTTTAGGAGTTATAGGGTTTAGGAGTCAGGGTTTAGGATTCAGGGCTCAGGAGTTATAGGGTTTGGGAGTCAGGGTTTAAGGTCTCGGGCTCAAGATTTCGGGTTTAGGATTTAGGCTATAGGGTTTGGTGGCTCGGCAGTGGGTGATTGCGGCCCCATGCTTTCCACAAGAGGACCCAGACTTGGCAGAACAAGTGTTTTCCCCAATCTTCGTGATGCAAGTACGAATCCTCTTTGGCATTTGCGGGCTACTTCTTGTGCACTGGCAGTTCTGGGTGTTCAATCGGGTGTAGGAAGGTGTGATTTGTTTAGGATGGAGGGTTCTAGAATTTTCTGCAAGGTGGATTCTTTATCTCAGAAGTTGGATAGGCATTTTTTGCATTAATTTGTTGGGTTCCTATACTTACCCTTTTTATACTTAAACATGCGTAGAGTCTTAACCCTAAACCCCAAACCCTAAACCCAAAACCCCAGCCATTTTACCAACCCCGTGCCTGCGTACAGATCTCGATGATCTGCTGAAATGAAAAGGAAGAAGAGAAGGCTCGCCCACCCTTGAACCACAAGCCCTTAACCCTAAACCCCAAGCCCTAAACCCTAAACCCCAGCCATTTTACCAACTCTGTGCCTGCTTACAGATCTCGATGATCTGCTGAAAAGAAAAGGAAAAAGAGAAGGCTCGCCCAACCTAGCGAGCATTGGTAGCGTGGAGCAAGCGTATGCTCAACATGGTTCGCCATGTTAGCCTACACCCTTTGCGTGTGCAGACAGCAGCAGCCGCATTCCTTTCATGAATCTGAGTCTGAGACGCACGCAGCCAAGTAAGAGCCACCTGGACCTGCAGCCACGATACTCGCCTTGGGAATAGTAGCTGCAAATACCAAAAGTGGTGGTTGTACACAAACCAGCAAGAGCAAGAATCACCTTTTCCTCTATTAGCAACCCTGAGCCATGTCTTAAACCTATTCCCACCCCGGAGCTTGAGCCATGCTGGCGCACTGAGCCGTGAGAGAAGCAGCGGAGCGGCTGCGAGATCGGCAGCGCAGAGGCTGTGATGCAGGGAGTCTTCCAGGCCTGATCAGAGCTCAGCCCAGACCTCAACACCCTACACGATCGGGGCGAGAAGAGTGAATTTACCCTTGCTACCTTACAGAGATTGCTTCAAGCCCATACCAAGGGGATCCGGATGGCTGTGAGTGATGACGTAAAGAGTGCGGTGGGGGCTTTAAAGCAAGCCATGGTCAAGCGCATTGACGCTGTGAAGGAAGAGATGCAGGAGCTGAAGCGCCGCTTGTCCCAGCAGGATACGACTTGAGAAGGACCAATGAGGAGTTGACGGCAAGGGTGTAACGATTGGAGGCCAAAGGGAGCACGGAAGTGTCAACGGCGTTAGGCGCAAGCGGACAGAAAGCAGGGCCTGGTCCTTGGGGGGCGCAGGATGGGCATATGATACTCGCCGAGATGATCTTGTTCAAGCATGTGCAGGAAATCATGGTGAGACTTCACACCCAGAAAAATACAGATAAGGAACCATTCCGCTCGGGAATCAGATGAGGGTTCGTGGTCCTCAACTTTGAGGAACGGCAATGGAGCCAGTACGCAGATCGTGAGCAAGTGCCAATAGGGGCCCTCAAGAGAGACTTAGGGCAGCCAATGCCTCCAAGGTGCGAGAGGTCATCCACACGCAGGCGAGCTACTTGATCGCTCAAGCAGAGACAGAACACAGCAGCGGAAGTGAATGGTTAGCCAACATAATGGTGGCTAGCACCATCAGGCCCCGCCCGAAATCCGCCCGAAAGGCAACGCGGACATTGTCCTGGATGGGAAGGCCCCGGCATCGTGAATCAACATCACCGCGCTTGCAAGAATCTTGAAGAAGGAGAAGGACGGGAGTACATGGAGGCCTGAGCAGACAAGCGTAGTATCGCCCCTCCCCTGAAAAAACATTCGCACAGTCGTGGAACGTGGCGGGGGTAGAGTTTGAATGCATGGAAAAATATTGTTTTGACACATGGGGATAGAGAGCGAGCTGGCGTTGTGATGATGCAAGAGCGCCAAAGGCAGCAGGCAAGATGGAAGCCTGCAAAGGAAGTGGGTCACTACATGTCACTACGTGCTCCTGCGCCATCATGGGCCACTACATGTCACTACGTGCTCCTGCGCCATCATGGGCCACTACATCTCACTACGTACTCCTGCGCCGTCAGGGGGTGATGTCATGGAGGGCAAGAGCGATTGCTGCGGATGCTCGCAAGTTTCATGTCCTCAAGAAGAAATTGTGTGACCGCAGCGTGTGGGTGCAAGTTGGGGACAAAGCTACCGGGAAGGGTGCATTTGGCTGCGTGTTCCTGTCGACAATTGTCACACTGGAGGACTACCAGATTCAGTGTAGCAGATTGCTGTACTGCTTGCCAAACACGTCGGACATGGTGATCGTAGCCAGGGACAAATGTCGGCGTGGGGTGGACTGAGGGAGATGGAGGGGAGCCTGTGTCCCTTGGCAGCTCGGCCAAACTTAGAGGATGGAAATTGGTTATGCAACCAAGAGGCGCAAGAAAGTCTGGCTAAGCAACGCGCTGCGCTGGGCAAGGTGATTATATGCCGAACCTGGCAGCAAAGTATTGGGGCGCAGAGGGGGGGGCACGACGTCCCAGAGGTCATCAACCAAGAGGCGCAAGAAAGTCTGGCTAAGCAGTGCCCTGCGCTGGGCAAGGTGACTATATAACGTGCCCTGGCCACAGGAACTACGTGATCCTCGTGAAAAGTGCTATAGAAGGACAAGGATGCCAGAAGCATTCAAATCCTACATGCATAGACTGTGCAGCTGGCGTACAGAACAGCAACAGTTGAAAGTCCAGCAGACGGGCAGCAGTACTGCAAGGTCCAACATGAAGGGAAAGCATCACGGCGACACGAATTTGCCGTGGCAGTTGATTTCACAAACACAACCTTCTAGCAGAGTGGGGCTTACAGATCAACTGGGCAAGAGCTCCCTCTTATGTGTGAAAAAGCCACGAACTACTGCCGCGCAGGGAGGGGTGTTGTGTGCCTGGGAGGAGGGAGGACATGTTGGTGATGGGAGTCCCCCCCGTAGGACCTTGGGTGATGAGCGTGGATGCGCTGGAGGCGCAGTTCGCGACGGCAAGGAAAGGCTTCCAGGCCAGACGTGGGATCCTCCATTCATCGGCCCCGCCTTGGCAGCGCGCTACACTCAATGCTCGTGTATTCTTTGGCAGCGTTTTTCTGGGCTCGGTCGTTGGAGTTACTCATCCAACCCAGTCAAGCGCAAGTGGAGTTCATGGTCGGCATGATGGGGTGGAAAGGAAGGAGGGTGAGACCTTTGTAGAGTTCCATCAAAGAAATGAGTTTTAGGGGGGCCAGAGATCCTTGGAGTACAGCGCGCTTATGATTGGTGTGGAGAGATGCAGCCGCCAGGCAAGAAATGGAGGTAGCGAGCGCCCCGGAGCGGCAGAGCGGCTAACGTGGTACAGAACCTTAAGCTGGTGGCTGGTGGCAGGCCCAAAAAGCAGGAAAACGAGGCCCAACAAGAGCCTACAGCAGGAAAACGACACAACAGGCGACATTTCCCACTCATGGGAAATCAGCGAGATTTGGCAGAGATTGGCGTGGAGAGGGACCTGGATCTTGGCCGCTGGGAATATATTGGGCTGGTAAGGATTCGGAATCCGCGCGGCTTGCGTGCCGTGATGCCCCATGGGCAAGCGGAACACAATTGGCCGTCCAAGCGTAGCGGCGGGTGTAGGAGCTTGCGTTGCAAGGGAATAGATGTGGCGTGGTGTGTACACCAGGCGTCTTGCTAGGTGGAGCAACTCCAAAGAGCCGAAGTTCAACTTGCCTGTGCCGCGTTGCCAACTCAAAAGATTTTGAACAGCATGCGCTGCTATCTCATGATGAAGATGGCCCCACTCTACATATCCATGTTTACCACCATGGCCACCTTGGTGTCGCCTAGTGAAGGGTGTCGTGCAAAGGAACAACCACGCAATGCTCAATGTAGCAGTCGCCCGAAATGGTGGACAATGCACGGAACGTTAGTATGGAAGTTGAGAATGGGAACCCGAGGATGCCCAGATGTTTGTGCCTGGAAAGTGGGATACGATCCCGAGGAAGCCCCATTCTCCTGCCCTTCAAGTGCGCGTGAAGGCCGTCAAGAGCCCGATCCGCCGCAAGTGCAAGGAGGAACTGGTACACAGACAATAAACAGAACGAGTACTGCAAGACCGAGAGTGGACATCGAAGGATCACCGTGTGGAAGTATACCGGTACCTACAGAAGTTCATGGAGAGTCCGATCCACGGCAAGGGCAGGGGGACAAACAGGAACACCGGCTAACAGAAAGTATATTCTTGACAAAAGCCGGGGCTGATGAGGCACTCTCGGGCTCCATGTTCTGCTTTGGGGACATACCCGACTCGGGCACATTTGACCTTGCGCTTCAGTGAAGTCCTGTTCCTTGACGTGCTCGTTCAGCGCCTTGTGCTTGCGGCGAATCATGTTCTCCGCGGGTCTGACGTGGCCGCGGTCGTCCATCATGTTGAGGCATCCTTGTCCTCGAGGTTCTGCTCTGCTGGTCTGTCCCACTGCGCCATTTGACAGCCACAGTGCATCTCTTTTTTGATGGGATATCGGCAGCGCCGCACACCTGAAGCCTGCCCACCGTCCATGCGCAACATGGCCAAAGCTTCAAACTGCCATCTCAAAAGCCCTACCTACAAATGGGGGTTTCTCAAATTAGGGGTACCGTTCTGGGGGTCCTTGTAATAAGAATTATTGTATTTCAGACCCAGGGTCAATTTTGAGTCTCCCCTATTTTGGGAAACTACCACTTCCTGTAGAATTCCACCACGTTCATCTCAAGACTCCCCTCGTGCAGGACAAAGCTCGCTTACCTCCTTCCCCTATGGCAACGAGCCCTTGCACGCGATAGCTGCTGGATCCTTGCTACTCAGGTAATACTTATTATTGGGATACTGCAGTCCCCCGTGTGGAATACGATTATCACCTTTTTTTGGGTAGGGAGGAATGGAAGAGAAAATGGAAATCGTTCAACTTAAAAAGATCCAGGGGGTGCCTCAATCTTCAAATATGAGAGGGGCTTTGTTTGTGCATCCCGAGGGCAGTATACTGGGGTCTCTGTTGGTCCCCTGTTTGCAGGAACTACCATACGTCCCCTTCCTGGAAACCTTAAAGAATGGAGAGATGTGGGCATCTCATGCTAGCGGCGAATTTTTGTAAAATTGTTTCAATTTCAACCAAAGCGGGAAAACGGGGTAAGTTCAGGGTTGATCATCGGTAAAGATTCCTGGACACAAGAGGTCCCTTTTGAGGAGGTTCTTGAGGTGTCTGCATGTGTACATTCTTTGTTACAATGCTTATACAAATGCTCATACACATACATAATCCTCATCTTTGGCAGGCTCACCTGGCTTGACCCCAACATAAAATACGGATAGGTCTGAAGTGTTGTGCCGAAAGTTTTTCAGGTTGGTGGGCTGCCGACCATGGTTGGGATCGAAGGCAAAGCAACAGCTCGACCGTGCGGGAAAAAGTTGCATTATGTATAGTTCCCAAAGTCAGGGTCCCATTTCGGTACCCCTAAATTATTCGGTGCCGTAATATAATCTATCACCAAACGGGGCCCATAATTCTGAGAAATTTTGAGAACAACCCATGTTGTTCGCTAGACTTTTCTGTTCTACTGGAGGACCGCCCAAATAACAGCAAGGACGCCACAAGCATAATGGCTGCAGGCTCCAGGTTTACGGTATTCTCTAAGGGGTTGAGCTACACAAGGTTATGTAGGGTTTATGGACGATTGACGGATGGAGGGCAGCCCGAGTTGTTTCTTGTGCTGAGATCAATGGTGGTTAATGTTCATATGGGGAGCTTTTAAGGCTATTTCCGGTTGAAAGATTTTAGGGTGCATGCAGGGTTGATTTTCTAAGATATGAATTCCTTCTAACCTCCTAGTAAAAAACGAATAAGGCTTTTAGGGTTTAGGGTTGCGTGTTCCCCGTGTTATACATTGGGGCTATATTTGGACTACATATTGGAAAAGCGGTGGTGGTAGGCGGCGATTATCAAGTGGGCGGTGATGATACCCCGCAGATGTGTGGTCTGCGGGTCACAGGCAGGCCTTGCTTCTTCATGGTTAGTAAGGGATAATGACATAGTGGTTCTAAGGGATATAAATGATTTAGGCTTAGGCTTAACGATCATGGAGAATCAAATGGCAACGAACATGGAAAATTACATAGTAATTGCGTTTCCATTGATGACGTAGGATTTTGAGTATAGGTTTTTGGAGAATGTATGCAGGGTTCCGCGGGACTATTGGTGAGCGCATATATTTGGTGTCCAAGTAGGGGGACATCAAATTAAGATCCTACCTGGATCTATGTAGTAGTCGTTGCATAAATTCTTACAGTACGTAGTTCGTATCACCATCTTCCTCCTTCAATAGTATGCATAATCAGGTTGCTACAGCCCGCAATCCATATCTTTTGGGGGTTCCGCATTTTACCAGTAAGTGGGCAAAATTGTTACAATTTCATGCGACGACCTCGGCCCACGTGCTGAGCTAAATGCAGAATAGTCTCAGCTGGTTTGATGTCAGGTTTTGAATTTGGAAAAATGGCCAGTGGTAGGAACATACAGTGTCGAGTGATGTTATAGCACTGGTAGCACCACACTAAACCCAAAGCTCTAAAACAGGAAAATGGACAATCGCCCCAAGTTGGCTTAATTTCAGGTTTTATAAAAAGACTAGTAAGCTAAGAAGACTATAGTAGCTTCCATTCTGTTTTCCATGTCTCCATCGCTAAGGGCCAGCAATCAGTTTGGCGATCACCTTTAGGCTTGTTAGTTCGAAGTCTATGTGTTTAGGGTTTAGGGTTTAAGGGTTTACGGTTTAGTGTAAGCTTGAACCCTGTTTACATAATTCCACCAAATTATCATGCAGCGCCACATAAGTCTTGTTTGAAAGGACGGTCGTCTTTACAGTGTATATGTCGATGCACACCTGTGCACATACATCTATGCAAAATATGCATTTACAAATATCCATATATACATAAATACACATGTATATGTATATCTCTAGGGGGTTATCCTGTTGGAGTTCATGTTTGGGGGGTCTCAAGAAAGGGAGGTTTCAGAGACCCTTGAAATCTATCGAGATGGCATGGAGATGGTAGGGGTCCCTTGAGGACTAGAGGGATCACGTTGAATCACTTCCACTTGAGCCTTTATAGCCCTGAACTCAACCTAAACCCAAAACCTTGAATCCTAACCCTAAATCCAATCCACAGGCACTAGCAGCCCGAAACGTCGAACCCTAATCCTGCAGCCGAATGTACTGGCCTAAGTACTTACCAACGGTTAGGGTTTAGGGGTTTTGGCTAATTAGGGCAGTGAAGAACACACGAAAAAACAAGAGAATTACATGGAACGTGTGTTTATGTAGGACTTGTGGTCCTAGGTTCCTTGTATACTTGCCGTATACTAAGTAGACCTCACGATGAATAGCTAATTCTTCAGACCCCCCCTAAGGAGCCTTAAGACATAAACCTCCAAGCCACGCACCCTACTAAACCCTAAACCCTAAACCCTAAACCATCAAACTCCCAACCCTGAACCCCTCAACAACCCCCAAATCTGCCAAGGGTCTTGTTGGGTCTCTACTTGATCACCGTCTTCACGCCAGGGCCTCACAATCAGGATTTGGGAGCCAATGGCTAGAAACTAGAAATGCCCCTGATCTTCGAGGATCCTCCCATTCTAAACCCGAAAGGAATCAGAAGGGTTTAGGGTTTGGGATCTGCTAATCAGGGGCTTACTCTCCAGGCTAGATAATAAGGCCTTGCCGCAGCAGTGGTGTAGAGGTTGGGAATTTGGGGCTCGTAGGTTTCTCCGAAGCCGACCGGATTAATCACCTCCCCGAATATCAGCCCCTGCTTCCCGTAATCTCGAGGAATCCCAATACATATATATATATATACATATATATGTATCTCTCTCTCTCNNAATTAAAAGGTGGGGGGAGGCAGGGCGGGGGTGGGGTTTTATTGTAGGGGGAGGTGATCAGTTATGTTTATTGCAAGCGCCATGACTCATGGGAAGTTGTCGGAGTTGGGAGCCCCGGTTGGCATATAGAATCTTGGGGGAGGAGTGCCCTCCCTCAATTTTCGATAAACCCAAGTCGACGCTGTTCCAAAGGGACAGAAGGTTTTTGGGGCTGCTTCTGCAGCTTCCTAGAGTAAATAGGCAGAGGTTCGTATGGTCTGAGTCGATTGGGGCCTACGGGTCTTTCTTTTGCTACGGTTGACGCAGGGAACCTTGCACCACTTAAGACCCTCGAACTATTGCAATTACTTAGGGTATAGTCAGTATGGTGTATATAAGGTGATGCAAGACTTCCTCGGTCTAGGCTTCAGGGTTCATAGTTTAGGGTTTTGCCACCATGTGCAATGCCAAACTGATTCGCGCGCTCGGCTTTAGACATGGTTCAGACAGGAGGATGACTGTGCATATAGCTGGAATAATGCAGAATTCAACAGAGAAGAACATGGAACCTGAAATGCGAAAGAGTTTTCTATAGGTGCTATAGGGATTACAGTGTAGGAGGCTAAATAGTCACCAATATTACGGTCCTGGGATCTGGGACATTTATGGCACAGAGTAGGGCTTATAGACCTTCCTAACGATCTTGGTAAGTCCTAAAGCCTCAGCATTACAGACTCCATAAGGACGCCTATATAAGCCCGTTTTTCATGCTTGTTTCCATTTGATGCTCTATTCTTCGGGTAATATCCCTAAACCCGATCTAATTTGATAGCCCTAAATCGTCCCTATAAACCCTGTCTAATCCCTGCATATAGCCGTCTGTAATCCGATTAAGGCCCCTACGTAGACCGCTTTTGCTCCACTCCCAGCGGAGTGGGGTTGCGGCATTTAGGCTTTGAGTCTGAACTCCAGGCTTAGGGGTATGGGTTTGGTCTAGGATTTGAGATTTAGGGTTTAGGCTAATTTGAGGGGGCTTCGGATGCGAGGGTTTGGGTTTTAGACTCTGAGCTTGAGCGCGGCGGTCTAGACCTTGGGCTTTGCAAATCCATCGCTCATGGATCTGAGTTTGAGTGAAAATCCTAATTCCGACTTGGCAACCCGAAGCTTTTCAAGTGAAATTCTCAAGTCCCAAGCCTCAATCCTTGTTAGCCTGAACCCTCAACCCTAAACCCAAGGCCCCATCCCCAAATCCTAAACTCGTGGCCGTGTTAGCCCTAAGCCTGGAACCCTTCTCATTGCACAAGTTCGAGTTTTTTACACAAGCCTGTTGTTGGCGTAATTTGAGAACATCCTAAACCCTACTGCGGCCTAAGGAATGCTGCATGTCGCCGGGCTCTCCCAACTACAACGTTTCGGGTTTAGGGCTGCTACCCCCACAGGTTCCCCATTAGTCCGGTTTAGTGTACCCTTATACGACCAAAGAATATGAAGGGGTGGTTAGGAGAACACCTAAACCCCTACATAATCCCAGTTTCCATCTTATTTACATCTGATTTCCCATTATCCATTGGTAAGGAACCCCTGGAACCGTAAATGTTGTAAGGAACCCTAAAAAAGCCCAAAAACCCATAACCCTAACACCCCAAACCCTCAAGCCCAGGATAAACTTGTGTAGAGCAGGGCGATAAAAAGTTGAAAAGAAAACTCGCTCGAACTCCCTCGCAGCTCTGGACACGAACCCTATACAATTTCTATGGACCTTAAACCCTACAACCTAAACCCTACATCCTAAATCCCCTAAATCCCTACACCCTATACCCTAAACCCTACACCCTAAACCCAGAATCCTGAATCCACAAGTTTGGCTCTTGAAGCACCCAGGTGCCGGCTCATGCTCCGGTCTTCGTGTGCACAGAATCTGC